TCAAGCACAGCGTTGTGTTTTTCAGCACTGTGCTTATTCATTCCATTTTTCAGCTGGACTGAGACACTCACAGGTGGGATGACTCTCCCAAACAGGTTCTGAGCCAGGCATGTCGTCAGAGTTAGGAACCAGGTTCCTTCTGCCTCTGAGCACAGTCACACACACAGATCTCACTTGTGCCTACAACAGCCATACAATTGCAGGCATGTAGGACATCTGCAATGGCTTACTACCAAACAGCAGGAGCTGAGCAAAAAGTCTTTATGGAGAATAAGACATGAGAAAGATAGACTTGCAAACCAAGAAAAAGAAAAATTACATGTTTGCTAAGATAGTGCTTTTGGGAGTTTTTGCTTAAGCCTCTCTTTTCAAAACAAATGCTTCACTGCTTTTCTTTTGCAAATAAAACAACACCATTATTTCAGTGCCACTGAAGAGCTGGGCAGTAAATAACAAGCAATGTGCAGCAGCAATGCAGGAAGAATTGGGGGAAGAAAAAGCAAATATTTGTTAAAAGTAGAAAAGGGGAAAAAAACATTTTATAAACAGGAAAGAAAGAGCTTGGAAGCACATTTTTTTAAAAGGTATTATAAGGAAAAGCTTCTATGACAGGAAAAAACAATGATCTGACTACCTGTTTTTTAGGAAGAAATAAATAGTAAACTGCTTTCATATATGAGTAACACTTACACATTCCCAGAGTAAGGGAGCGTTATTGAAGTTGCCAAGATAAAGGAAAAATAAGGAAATTCCAGAAGTAAGGTTGCCTGAGAAGGCTTCATGTGGCCAGTTTGTGTGTATGCACAATGAGGCAGTCTGTTAATCACAAAAAAAAAAAAAAAAAAATCGCAAAATTATTTGCCCACAGCATCAACCTTGCTTAGTGCAAAATAGTGCAAAACCTATTCTGTATGTTGTTTTCCCCTTATCAAGTGATTCCACCCTTAATTTATGGCTTGCTGCCTAAGCCCTGCTCTGAAAACTGATGTTCTAATGTTTTCTACAGGCTCTTCCAGATTGCTCATCATTACAGCCTTGAGTTCTTTAAGAATTATCAAATCATTTGTGTTTACAATAGCATTATGGGGGGAGGGCTGAACTGGCTCCATTTTAGACATAAGAGAAATCCATGCCAAAACATAACTGCTAATTTTATGTGCCTCTTTGAGGATGCCTAACTTTTAAAGGTAAAATAGCATCAGGCTTTACAACATATCTTTCCAACTACAGAAGTCACCATCTAGGTGCTTTAACTATCAGAACTGTTTGTCAGATTAACTTCCTTAAAACTTCTGGGGTTTGTTCATTAATTGCCTACATTAGAATGCTTCATCAGTTTTGTATCTGCTTTTGCTTCACTGTGCAATTACAGAGATGATGGAGAAGATGGGCACGTCTCAGGTGAGATAACAGGTACTCTGTGACTGCTGCCAGGAGACTGGCTTTGCCTGGATGTTTTCTTCCTTGAAAACAGCAAAAGGTAGGCAAGGTGAAGCCAATCCATGCTGCTTTGTCAAGTGCATCCCACAGCAGGGGCTATGAACATTTGCTCCAGCACTCCACAGCCTGTCCTTAAAATTCACATCCTGGAAGCACACTCAAGCACCTCTCCTGTATCACATTGTTACAGAACTATGGAGTTAATTCTGAAGACAACATCTGAAAGTCCTGTAAGTACCTTGATGCTCATGCCCACTCTTAGTGTAATTCTGTACATTCTCTCCACAGGCATTATTCTACTAATGTCCTGAAGGCATCGTTATATTTCTGAAATCAAAAAAGCTGCATGTGGGAGGAAAATATAAACACAAAGTTCATCAGAACTCCATATGTCAGTAAATGGTAAATAATCACAAGATTAAATCACTGCAAGATAGACCTTAATTATTTAGGGTTAAACAGCAGCAGCATTACAGATGCAGAGGAATATTTTGTTAACCACACATCCTGGGAACACTTATATAGTAAGCTATTATTCTGCAGAAGAAGGGTAAGCAAAATGTGGATTGTGATGCTTAGAAACACTTTCAAATAAATAGGAAATAATATTGAAAAGCATGAACAAGAAAATGCACCCCAGGCAGAAAAAAAACCAAACAAACAAAAAACCAAACCACAAACAAACAAACAAACAAAACAAAACAACAAAAAAACAAAACAAAACCAAAACCCAAACAGAACTGTAATAATTTTGGTGGGGTTTTTTTTTTAAGTTGATAGTAGCTTCAGCTATTTCAGATAACTCTGAGATAGTTTCTGCTGATTTCTGTCTGCAATTACATTTCCTTATTTTTTTACCTTTCATGTCTTACTGTATGAAAACCCTGCACTAAGCACAGGAAGAACTGACTAACTGGCAATAGTGAGAGTGTGTAACTGACTAAATGGTGACACAGAGTGCTTTCCAATTCACAGACCAAACTAGCTGGGAGGAAAAAAAAAAAAAAGATAGAAAAGAATTATTCAATTCCTTTCTTGCATACTCTGCCTTCCATAAAAAAAAAAAAAAAAAAAGAGTAGTTTAAAGCCCTCTTGGGAAAGAAAAAGATTGTTGTTTTGTGGTTTTTTGTTTTTCTTAATTTATAGAACTTTCTTATTTAAGGATGAAAAGGACATGCAACATGAAAAAGGAAACTGGTCTTGCATTTATGAAATCATTTCCCAGATTCTCAGCTGGTGCAAAATAGCAGTACTTTCTTTGCTTAAAGGATAAGGTTCCAATCTGTATCAGCTGAGGATCTGATCTAAAGAGCTTTCCTTTTGTAGACATAAAAACATATACAGACTCACCTTAATTTAGATATTAAATGTGCTTGATTAAAATGTGACTGAAATCTCATGTTTCAAAATAGTTTTCAATCCCTTCTATGTTTTATCTGATATTGTCTTTTCTGGTCAGAAATAAGAGATGTAAACATTCACGGCACCATAAAATCATTTAGTAAACTTTGATGAAGTTTACTAGAATTGCTGTATCTTCATGGACTTTTGAGTTGTACTTCATTAAAGCAGCAGGTGCTTATACAGTACACAGATAAGAAACCATTTAAAATCTCTAAGAAACATCTTCCCATTTTCTCCATGAACCATGTTCAAGTACATATGCACAGATCAACAAAGCTGGCCTGTAAGATGTAGACAGAATGACATCTTAACTCCCATGCTCATGTTCACAGGTGGGTACCAGGTTTTAGGGCAATATTCCAGGTTTTTAACTCTTCATCTGTGAGTGCTACTCTTAAGAACTGTCTGAGTATTGTGGGAGCACTTGCCTATTTCTGCTGGCCCTCTGCTTAAAACTGGTGTAGCTGACTGTTGAGAGGGGTGACACGTTCTTCACTGAAAACAAAATATAAAATTACCCACTGAGCACAGCTGAACACAGGTAAGTCAGTTAGGGAAAGAGATCCAGAGGAACTCATGTGCCTAATCAGTTTCACCTGCTTGCTGAAAATCCCACACCTTTGCATTTCATCTTCATACAAGAAGCAGAAACATCAGACATGCACTTTTCACATGGGAAAATCCAACAATCTCTATCAATGGCTGTATCTGGATAACAAGATCTATATTCATATTACGAAAACAATCTTCAAACTCTATGTGTTTTGTAACGTGAACTATTTTATGTCACAACCCCTTTTGTTATTTTACGCGTGGCTATCTTTTACTACATTTCAAGATGAAACTATGGTTATGGTCAGATATGTGAGAATTTCATCTCACAATTCCACAAATATTGTCCCTTCTGACTTGCAGATGGAATCCTCTCAGCTGACAACTCTCACACCATTCTCTCAGCCTAGTCCCACACTTGCAGTCACTTGGAAGCTCACGCTTTCTGTCAGCAGTGCGTTTGCATCAATACAACCTTCTGTGTACTCCAAAGTCTACCTGGAGAAGCTTACTAGCTTATACTTTCTGATTCCTGGAAATGTCAAGGCAACTCTGTATCCTAAGACTAACCTAATGCTCATGAACCAGAAACCTCTACTGAAGCAAGGCTGACCCAGTAGAAGAAACAGATACAAGGAATCAGGAAGCTCCATGATTGCATTTTCACAGCAGAGTTTTTGTCTATGGCTGCACTTCAACCACTGTGTTTCAGAAGTCACACATTTGCTAATACCTCCAAAATGTTAATCTGTAATTCTATCACTTATTAGCAGTCCAATTATCTCTGCTCATTCAACAATGAAAAACACGGTCTCCTATAAATGGCCTGGACACATCTCAGAAGATAAAAAATGCAGCAAATTAAGATCTTACTCAAGAGTCCTACACAACTGAATAAGTAGGCAGAATGAGGCCCTTTGGTGTAGCATAGAAGGACTAGAAACACATGTGATCTTGATCAGGGCTATCAGCATGACTATAAAAATGCAGTTATAGGACAGATATTTTTTCAGAACATACCAAGAAAGTTTTATCAGGTAGACTTGATATATATCAAGTAGCCAGGTAAGACAAACCTAATCTCCCTCCACTATCTGCTTCAGGGTGAGTGCTATGGCTGCCATGAAGTAGGACTTTACAGCAAGATGCAACAATAAAAAATGTAATCAGGAGATTTCTGAAAGATAAGAATGTAAGAACTCACCAGCATATGGTATTTATTAGATGAAGAAATGGGTATGAACTGAAGAGCAGGCTACCAAGAACAGTTATTTTTTACAGTCTTCAGAATTTCACAGCCACTTTGGGGCTGAGAGTGTCAAAACAATCTGCCAGGGAAGACTGGATACACCCAAGAAGATATTCAAAGGGAAGAACGATAGCATCAGCAGAGGAGCTCAGTTGCACAAAAGGAGAGGTGTGGCTTAACCACAACTTTTGTGATTCACATCAAGGCTTTTCCAAAGTTCAGAGCTGTGCTATCTGAAGAGGATGGTACAGACCCAGAGCCACCAGGACCACATAGCTGTTTTCACAACCTGCTTCACTTGAAGGTCAATGACAAAGGGCAAAACAAGAGGGAAGAGAAGACAAGGCAGGCTCACCAGAGTGCGTCCTAAGGTGTCCTGTGAGGGCGTCCCTCCGTCGGCAGGCATAGCTGCAGAAGGGACATTTGAATGGTTTCTCCCCAGAGTGCAACTTGATGTGCCTCAGCAGGTTCCCCTTCTGGGTAAAAGAAGCTCCACATTGGTTACAGTGGAAGGGGCGTTCACCTGGAAGGGAAATGGAAGGGAGAGAGCTGTCAAGAAACATTGGAAGAGGCATGAAGCCCTTTATCCTGCTCTCTGTAACAGTGCCATCTTACCCAGGTATGGTCCCCACCACCACACGTGGCACTTGCTAAATTCAGAGGCTGTTTCTTTTGCACAATGGGCAAAGATTCCAATAATGATTTGAGATTCTCTCCTTGAGGTGATTAATGCAGCCTGATTTTCTCAAAGTTCTCCACCTCAAAGGTTTTATCCTTCATAAAAGAGGAGCTCTGATCAAAATTCAGATCCATGACTGTGGGTTTGTAGTATTTCTCTATGGCTTTGCACCTATTTTTAATATAGGTCCAATCCATATGAGTATTCAGAACTGAGCAGAACAACCAGACTTGGGCAGATGCTAAGGTCTTTGCTTCAAACCAGATCTTTCGCTTACATTATACTTTGATTGAAAGACCTTTTTAAAGGCTGCTTTGCATTGCTAGAGTGCTACAGAAGGAGTAAAAGAAAGTAAGGACCAGGGCCACAAGCTTTGGGCAGTAGCGAACACTGAGAAAAATGTTACATTGTTAAATTGTGAAATAAGCAAATTTGTGCTCTAGCAAAGCTAACTGAAAAGACTTGTTGGATGAAAAACAAAGTATCTAAATGAATAGAAACTCTATACCTCACCCTGTCCCCTCAACACATGCATTCACACACACACACATCCAAAACTTATTTTTATGTTAATCCTCTGTATTTGCTTTGGGCAGTGGAGACTGGGTCCATAAAAACAAACACCTTTTTTTAAAGTCACTATTTAGAGGAAAACCACAGACAAACTCACATAGGTTTTATGAAGTATTATTAAAAGCATACTCTTTGCCAACATTTGTTGAGAACACTTAGTCTGTTATGGCATTCTTGGTCAGGCAATCAGCTCTAATCATCTGCTTGTCCCACTGTACACACCAATAGGGCACGAGCACATACTTGTGCCAGCCACTTGTGAAGTGCTTTACTGCAGCAGGGCTTTAGATACTGACACATTTTCACTAAGTAAGGACCAAGTTAATCAGATTTCAGATGTAAGCAGCCTCATTCACTTTTTCAGTGCATCACCTATTATGGAGCCTTGGCTAAATCCTGGTGGGACTTTCTGAGGTTGAATTCACTCTCCTGAACACAGATCGCATGAAAAACACACACATTGTGTGATCTATCACCTCTCCAAAGCCTTTTACAATAGCTTTAAAATGATTACTCCCTTCCTAGACAAAATTAATGCTATGTTTTTATCAAAAGAGTTCATGTGTCTAGTGTAAAGTCCAAAATACATCTGTAGATTCAAATGGAAACAGAGGGAGGAAGAGAGCTCTTACAGATGTCCACAAGCAGTTCTTACTTCAGTGGTTTAAATCACTGCCAGCATTAGAGCCCTGCCAGGAGTATAGCATAAAGCAGGATATGTGCCATATGTATGCCATACCTCTGCAACTTTATTTCACGTGCATGAGCTGGAAATTACATCTGAAATCACCACAGATGCACTGAAGAAGATAGTAAGGTTTCTACAAGCTTGCCAAGAACATTATGGAGTGACAACAAAAAAAATCAGGACATAAAGCTCTTCTTCCAAGACACTGAACACAAGCTCATTGGAATTAATAAAGAGTTTGTGGTTTCTCTTTCAAAGTCCCACACTATACTTAAAAGATCTGATTAGCCATTATCTTCTTTTACATCATTTCAAAATGTCCATAACAGAGATACGCAGAGACTGCAGTAGAAAAATACATGGGGCTTTTTCCTTTTCTGTTTTGCTTTCGCTGCCTGAGAAAACAGGCAAACTCCCTTCCTTTGACACGCTTCTCAGTATTTAGGAATGATAGCTTCAGTTTCAGGATGACGACATTAAGGTGGCAAGTTTCTTACTAAGTCTGAAGTCTTTCCTTTTACTCCTGCTGTATTTAAAACTATGCAGTTAGAGTGTTTTACCTGCTATACCACCCATTTACCTTTGATATTTTGGAAGCCACTTATGGGCAGGTATTACTCCTCCATAAACTGGCTGCCGAAGAGATGCTGAAAGCCTTTGGTCAGGAATTCAAATAATCATTGCACCATGGTTCAGTGGCAAAGACGACATGAAAATACTCACAAAATGGGTGACACCACTCTGTTTACAAAGTGACCGAATCTCTTGAAATAGACAGAATCTGCGATAGCAGCACATTTTACCTTAAATAACCTCTGTATCTATTCAAAGCCAGCATGAATGAGTTTTCCCTACTGGCTTAATTTTGGGTAAATAGCTGCTTTGATCTGTTTGTTATACTTTTGTGCAGTCACTTGATTCCTACTCCTTGTTTAAGGCTTGTGGGATGACTGTTAATTTTAGTCCCACCTTCATGCTATTGATTAGCAGCTTCTCCATTTAGCACAGCTAATCTGAGAGACCGTTATCCAACAGAAGAGTGCACAAAATGTAAAGATTGAATAATAAGATTTTGCTGGTGTTCCAAGAACTATGCTGTCTGATGCCCACTCTACATACTACCTAACCAGACTTCTTTATCACTTCAGTGCCTTGAGAAGACTGTTTTCCAATTATTTCTCCTTCTGCCTTTTCCTAGTAAGCTGATATGTAGTCCTCCAGGGCTATTATTTCCTGATAACAAATTAACAACCTCGACATCCTTATTCGCTTACCTTACTCTTGTGTGAAAATTAAAAGCTTTTATTCATAGGCTTAGATAAATCACACTTCAAACTACACATCCACTCAAAAGTCTTCAATAGTTTCTTTTCTATATGACAGTCCCTGACTGTGTTTAAAATGTTTTCCTTTCTTTGGGGGTGATGGTAGCACAGACATACCAGAAACTATAGAACTATTAAACAGGTGGCATACATGACAACAGGAGGGTAATGACAATTATGAGTGTGGTGCATTTTTTACCACTTATAGCTATGTATTTACTGTTTGACTCTATAAACTTCTATTGATCTATTAAAATAAGAACTCCTTTTAAGAATAACGTATACTGAAAAGAGACTAAGCAAGCTTTTTGCTTTTCAGGATTGGAAACTAGGTGACTCCAACGTAACCACAAAATATTTGGCATCTACTTTAAGTATTAAACCTTTTCTCTATCTTAGAGCTAAACTAGGACAGAAACCCCTCAAACGTTAGTGATTAAAAAAAAAGACTTTCTGAGTGAGAAGAGAGGGAGGAACAGCGAAGCAAAAAACCCCCATGTTTCTTTCCAGCTCCAGATTTAATATGTAAAGCCAGACAAAACCAAGAATGCCTAAAAAGCCTTGTTCTCCAGCACTGGTAAGTTAATTATCTAAAGCTACTTCAGGAATGGGCTAGTCAAGGTAAGCCAGAGTTGTAAAGTATTACTTTTCCTTAAGCTTTATGAAGAGGGGCTTGTGCCAGGAAATGGCCCCAGTGATGAATAAACAAACAAATACATGGAGTTTTATCATTTTACAGTTAAATAAAGCATTAATTGAAAGGTCTGATTTCAAATAAGTTACAGTAAAATACTGCTGAAACTTTATTGTTTAACATGCATCCAATACAGCTATGCCTCCTCCAGGAAAAATAATAACAAAATACTACTGCTCTTTAGCTACACCAGTATCTAAAGTACCCAAGTTAACTTGCTGTTGTGTAAACAGACACCGAGATGAAAGGTGAATTGGACCAAGGGAGTCAGGTTTATTATCAAGACACAGTCCCTCCACAAGTATCTCCTTTCGTAAGTGTCTTTAACATACAGCAGCTGCCTGGAGACTTCACAGCACAAGTTATGAACACTGTCTACCTGATATAACCCGAAACCAGGCACACAAAGTGATTAACTTCCTCCTATTACTGTCTATATGTCAAATGTTATTTCAAAAAACAAACCAACTCTTTTTCTGCTTAATTGGAAGCTTCCCGGCACAAGAACTCTCCTTTACCACCTCAGCACGGAAGTGCTCTGCAGAAGTTTCAGTATGAGTTACCCTTCTTCGAATCTCAGACTGGTGCAAAATACATCAGTGATATTTTCTGTACCAAAACTGAAATTTGACTGAGGACAAAGAGCCTGAAGACTTCGCAACCAAGTAGGTTTAGATCTTCATAACCCTTGGCTGGTGACTTTTGTCCCTTTGAAATCAAATGGAATGACTCACAAAATAATGCAGGAGCTCTCACTCTTCTAAGAGTGAGGCCTGGTTATTTCAACAGCAGTGCTCAAGTCCCTTCCTCTGAATGTTTTAATTACCTTTTCTTAAAAATCCACTAGGTTTAAAGTCTCTTCACAATAACAAGGAAAGCCAGGATGAAGTCCATCTACATATAAGAACCGGATCCCTTGGGACCGTATTTAACATCAACCAAAAGTATATCTGATATTTCAGCTTTTTTCCTTTGGCACATACCTTTGATATGCAAAGGACAGTTTAGGTACTTCTCAAAAGGGATTGAAATTAGGTTTTTAACCTCTTAATGCAGAATTACTGTGTCCATGCTACCACCAGAAAGTGTGGCAATAATCAAATAATCTAATAATCTTGGTTTTCACCCTTCTGTAGTAGGCTTTTTGTTAACACTCAGTTAAAATAACACTCAATCCTGGTTCATAAGATGCTGCAACTGCTCTGATCCCATGCTGTCCCAGGAGCAAAATGGAATATCAGCTGTGCTACCGACATACTGACAGACACCGAGTTGCAACCTGCCTTTACACAAGCAAGAGACAAAGCAGCAGAATTTGCTCCATTTCTGTATTTGTTATTCTGGGGACTATCTAGCCTGCATACCTACTCACTGTCCTGTTATTCTGGGGACTATCTAGCCTGCATACCTACTCACTGTCCTATCAGATTCACTTAACAGGCTGCACGTCACTCGAAATCAGTGATTTTACTAGGGCTTTTTGTTGGGAAAAATCTACTGCCAGATAGGGCAGCTTATTATAAAACACTAGTGGCAAATCTCTCATGAAAAATTCCTGAGAAATCCTGAGTGATTTCCAAGTGTCCTCTGTCCACAGATTTGTGACCATATTCTTAAGAGAGAAAAATCCTCTAAGTGAACTGGTACAAGTTTAAACAGAAGAGTTTAGCTACCACATACTGCGAGTAAAACACATCCTTATTCAGACAGTGATTTCCAAAATCTAAGCTCCCCTTCTTTATGCTTAAGTAGAAAATGAAACTCTTGGAATAGTTAGGTTTAAGAACCTGAGTAGAAAAATTGCACTTTTAGAAGTTTGGCCCTACAATTTTTGATTCAGTCTGCTCTAGGTTACAAATGACAAATCAAACCAAATAAACCTTTCTTTTGGAAGAAGGAGACAGGCAGGCCAATGGAGTTAATTGCAATGTGTTAATATGTCCATTTGTTTAAATTTGCTCTTAATTAGCTGGCTTGGGCATAAAGTCTTACATACCGAACAGCACAATTAGGTTTTTCTTCATTTATTGTGTCCCAAAAACTTGAACTTTGCACGAAAACCAAAATTTAACTAGCATTCAGAGTTCCAGTGTTGCATATATTTAGTTAATAATGCCACAGCTCCTGTAGTAGAACTTGAAGATTTCTCTCACGGGCACATAACTTGCCTCATTACACTGGTACTAAAAAGCACGGGGATTGCAAGCAAAGAGATGAGACTCTCCTGCAGTTATCACCTCAGAAAAATAACCTATCCCACTTTGGGCTGCTGATAAGACTACTATCCCCACTGCCTGCTGCGTCATGCCCTACACGCAGGGACATGGCTTTGCTCTGCCCCTATCCCTCTGTGTCCACACAGAGAAAGCATTTAACCTCTGGGTGTTCTATGAGGATAATCCCAAGCCTCCCTTAGAGATAAAAGGTATTTAAAAATCCAGCAGTGGACTAAATAAAGGACTTGATGTTATGGTGGAGAAAAATCACAATTCACAGCGCAAGGGAGAACAACGTGAGGACCTTGCAGATCACAGAGGCAGCAACGGGGCGGCATCAGCAAAACGTTTCTGCTTTACCAAAAATGAGAATCAAGGAAGTTTTAAATCAGGCCCACTAGCAGAGAGCCTAAAGAGGTGTGAAATCATCTGAATTCCCTTTCATTCCTTCACACAAGTTGGATTACTGACCTTAACTTCTTCTCCCCTTCCCTCAACATTCCCCAGCACAAGCCCCTGGGGTATCCAGTGGCAATACTATGCGACCAGTAATCTCCTGCAATAACAAAATACCTCTGATAAAGATGATGTAAATCAGGCTATGGGCTTTGGAATATGAAATCTGGACCAAAAGAAGATACTATGAGAAAGGAGGAAAACAAATCAAACCTGACATGCTATTTCCCTGACGCGAGGATGTGGCACTTGAGAGAGAGGATGGGGTTACCCTGCTCACTAAAGCAGGGAGTGCATCGTGCTTAAGTTCCACATTGAACGCTTTATTTCTTTTCTGTCAGTGATGACAAATAAATAGAAAGGCCTTCTCCTGAGGATCATGCAGACTACAAAAATGTTTCACTTGAATTACTGGTGTTTCAGAGAAATGCTGCATTGGGCAGTGTCGGAGGAGCAGTGCTATGGACTCTGTGACGGAGGCGCTGTGGATGAGAGCATCATTTGCACCATGTGCATGAGGCAGAGCTTGTGTGGATCTGAAGGATGGATGAGAAATCCTCAGCTTGGTCTATCATGGGAAGGGGTGACTGAGAGGACCTTCAAGAAATCTGGAAAGGGACTTGACAAGGGCCTGCAGAAACATGATAAGGGGGAATGGCTTTAACCTGACAGAGGGAGATTTATGTTAGGTATAAGGAAGAAGTTCTTCCCTGTGAGGGTGCTGAGGCACTGGCACAGGGTGCCCAGAGAAGCTGTGGCTGCCCCATCCCTGGCAGTGTTCAAGGCCAGGTTGGACACAGGGGCTTGGAGCAACCTGCTCTAGTAGAAGGTGTCCCTGCCCATGGCAGGGGGCTGGGACTGGATGAGCTTTAAGGTCCTTTCCAACACAAACCATGTTGTGATTATATGATATGATACAATAGGACTGCACGAGTCAGTGGAAACGGATGCTCCAGCATGAGGATGATAGATGGGACACCAAGTCTTATCCACAGCACAGATTATTTTCCCCATCCCTATATCTGTTCGACTGAACTACAACAATGTGGCAGGGAAGACAACTGCCTCTCACAAACAGATGAATAATGGCTGGAGAAAACTGTGCCCCTTTATGTGTGTAATGCAGCCAAAGCCATACAGCACAGCTACTCGCAAAGCCCAAGTCCCCAGTGTAAGGAAAGCCACACTCTTGTCCCAGCATACATGCAAATTACAGCCCCTACTATGGACCACAGCATTTTGTGTGATTTACATAGAACAATGACAGGTTTTTTGGAAAAGGAAAAATACTTCAGTCTTTGCCCATACGAGTAACTGGCCAGATCATGCTTTGGTTTTGTATAAGACAAAGAAGAGAGTAAGGTGACATTCAGATCCCAAAACATACTTAAACTGGCTTTGAGAGGTAAGGATTTACATGACAGTTGCATTAGCTGATAAAGAATATCATTGGTTTACACTCACAAGGGAAAACCTCCATTCCCTCCACAATTCTCCCTTGGGCTGCAAAACCAGACTACCCACAGGTCAGGGCTCATTCCAGAGCTGGGGCCAGCCCATCATGCCTAGCTGCTGAGGAAGTGGCAATAGATTTTAAAACACTGCACTTCAAAAGACAGATACCAGTATGCTAAAAATACTCCTTAAAATCAAGGATGTGGAAATCCAAGCAAACTTCCCCTTCTGTTGTGGACAGTGAAGCAGCAGCATGTATTAAAAAACAAACAAACAAAGTGGGGGAAAGAAAAAGAAAAATCCCCCGCAAAATTTGCCAACTGGTTTACTGAGTGTAGAGCACAGAGCTGCACGTTAAAAGGAATGTCATTTCTATATGCTTGAGATCATCTGTATAGAGCAATATATCACAGCTCCTCTACTTGGATGGGAAGAGTCAGGGCTCTATGAGGAACCAGCAGTAGCCTGCAGGAAAATGCTATCAGTTATGCAATCCCCATCTATGCATCCGCATACAGCCACTTTGCCCGCACGCAGATGAGATTTTGTTCTGTTCTCTTTGAATTTGCACGTCTTCTTTCACAGGAAAAAGGCAGCTTGTCTGTATTTAAAAGATGCACTAGCTAGTCAGTGTGTAAAAAAAATGCAGACCATTTAATGAAGTATACCTAAGTCTAAATTTAGCAAGTCTAATTTAGCTGCTCAAGTTCAAATACATGGACTCTGATGCACCTACAATACATATGCTCAGATACATGCAAGTGCCAACAGAAACTTTTCAGGGAGGTTGAAAGCTGGGGACTCCGGCCGTACATCTCAATTTTCTTTCTCCTTCCTAGTAACAGCATGTCAAATTGTTAATCAAGATTTTGGTTCTCCAACTAGTGCTTTTCCCCTGTTGTAACTGCTGTCTAAAATCACAGCTGCATCATAAATGATACTGCAATGCTTTGCATTACATATTTCTGTTATTATCAATACAACTTATATACAGGGCATTAACTATGTAGTATATATTTATTATTCCTCTGTACAGAAATTCTATTGATTTCTCTCACATCAAGAGCACACTATTTGACTGCGAACTGCCAGGTTTACAAAGGGATTATGCATAGTCTTTCTTATTCTACCTGAAAAGCCCAGTTTTCTTTTAATATCTTAGCAGAAATCTCACAGTCTGTGCAAGTCTGTCACCCCATTAAATAATAGCAAAGATAAAAGAAAAAAGGTAGATTTCATTGTGTCCAAAAAACATGAAGAACAAGCACCCCCTGAAGCTCCAGCACAAAAACCTGTGCTTAACCTTAATAAGACTGAAGTGTGTATCTTAAGTTAAGCATATACAGTAGCACTTCAGGTGACTTACATGTGCTTAAATATTATAAAAATTAAGCACAAGCTTAAGTGCTTTTTTTAATAAAGGCTCTGCCAGGTAGACCTCTGCAAAACCAGAGGGAATTGTCTTCTGGCACCAGCTGTACTTTATCCTGTTGGAGGTAACCACCACTCCTACCTGAGAAGCAGCAGAGGTGTGTACCAGAGGTGAGTGCTAGTCAGTACCAGCCCCTCAGGCAGCCAAGTTTGTCCTATTAGCCAAAATTTGCCTGAAATTCCCTATTTTGAACTCAAGGCTTCACCTTTCAGGCCCCAAAGGCCCCCTCAATCAGCATACTGCAAAGGTTTTGTCTGCCTCTTGAATTCTCAGATCCATAAGCCCAGTGAGCTGTTTTGGTCTTCGAAACTTAGAAATACTAACAGTAACAAAAATAAAACTATAGTAGAGTTCAAGCATTGAAAGATGCCACATCTGGATGGTGAGGGGAGCCAAGTGCTAGCTCATAGGAGTAGTTCAGGTGAAGTTTCCTGATGGAGCTGTCACATGATACATCGCTGGATAATGCATGTCTCTGTGGGGTTTGCTAATCCCAGGTCTGTTGCACCACCAGCATCATGCCCAGCCACTTGCAAAAGAGGTGAGAGATCCCCAGGAAGCTTCTGATATTTTCCATTCTGGGCACCTCCAATGGAAGACCACCTAAGACTCACCCTAAAGGCTCAAAAGCCTTGCACATGCGCACACCCATGAACACACACACACCCATGCCAAAGAACGACTCCCACTATCTTGCCCCTGGTCAAGTAAAAAACCAGCAAACAACAGTAAAAAAAGCAATTTTCAGACTTTTGTGCTGTTTTTAAGAACTAAAGGCTGTAAATCAATGTCAAAGAAGCACTATGCCAGAAACACAGCATCACCAGAATTTGGGGAGCAGGAAGAGAACCAAACCAATGAAGCCCATCTTTCCCTCCCCACCTCCTGCTACCCCATGAATGAAAAGGAAAGAGAGAAGAGTGGTCAGGTAATATCAACATCAGACGCCATGGGCAGTCATCAGATTTTCTTTCAGCTGCTTACCAGTGTGGCTCCTTTTATGTACCATTAGCACATTGGGCCCAATGCAAACCATGCCACAGACGTCACATTTCAGTTTACCATTCGGAAGCCGGATTCCTCCCTCGCTTGAGAGCTCCTGGATCTTTCTGTTATCCATCATCTCGTTACCCTCAGTGAGAGGATCTTCCAGGCTGCTTCCTTCATCATGAGCCCTGATCTCATCTTCCTGACACAGGGGCTTCCTGTCAAATTCATCATCACTTTGCATTTCTAGCTTTACTGAATTTGCTGAAATAAAAAAAAAAAATAAAAAAAAATTAAAAATTAAAAAAATTAAACCCATGTATGTTCTAAGTTCCCAGTCACTAATATAATGATAAATCTCTATGATTATCAGTATTAATGCACAGCCTTTAAGATCTGACCAACATGAGGGTGTCATGGTGGTGGCAGCACCACAATCTCACAGTTTGATGATGGTGATGGCACCACAAGTTACAACTGTGTCTTAGGCCCTGTTTTGTTGGGGTATTTAAGTTCTTAATTTCTATCCCTATTTTACAGCTTAGAAACTAAGGCATGGCGTGATCCAGACACCTACCAACAGCTGCAGAGACGCAGCAGGCTTAAGAACTTATCCTCCTGCTTAGCTTGAAACATAGAAGCTCCCTTCCTTTCAAGAAGCCCAAGTCTCAAGAGGAAAGGACATAGCCACAGCTGCTTCTTCCAGGTCTCTCCTGCCTAGTGCACCAAGATGAAGGGTTTCCAAAGACAGGGTTTCATTGCACCATCACAACTTGTGGAAACAAACACCCTTTGCAAGCAGGATAACTGAAAACACAGGGACCTAGTGAAGCCAGAGTTGGGCAGGCTTCCTGACAGAGGGGAGACTGGGTGAACCTCCAGTGCTTTTTTGCTACCGTCTTCTGATTCACACAAATGGGACACTGCCAAGGCAAACAGGTCTGAAGAGATTTACGCTGCTGGCTTATGTATATTTGCAAGTAAAATAAGCACACTTGAAGATCTCTTGTATCTCTCTGGTTAGACTGATGGGCTCACCACTGATTTCTGTGATCCTCAGGTCACAGGATAAATCTTCTCTAACTATCAAGAGCTTGTGGAATCAGTGTATCTTTACAGAAAATGAATGCATCAGGCTTTTTTACATAGGAGCGTTGTCATCACTAGAGACCCTAATTTCAATGTCTAAATGGCTGGCTGAAGTGGCTGAAAGGCCTGCCTCAGAGTCACGCTCTCCCATCCACAGTCAGCCAGAAGGCAAGCCCACGTGCCTGCTTCTCTAAGCCTTGATCCTGCTGAGGGGTTTAAAAAGGAGGTGATTCAGCCTTCATATCTAAGCGGTCTTTGACCTCTGTACTAAGGCCATTGCAGGAATGCTGGTGACAGCAGTAGACCAAGAGCCTAAATGCTTGCCTCCAAACCCTGGCCAAACGTGCTCCAGAGTACAGCCACCAAGGGGAATGTGTCCAGCAGCCCAATGAGTAAACGTGTCTGATTGCTGTGAGTTTCAAACAGCAGGCCTGAAAATGTCACAAGAACAAACCCTGCTACCTAGACTTCCTCTTTCGTCCTTCTTCCCCAGAATTTACAGTTAAAGAAAACACAAGGTTCAGAGACTGATGTTGATGTTAACTCTAAATCACTGTTGCTACCCTAGGCAAAGCATAATGAACAGGGCAGAGGCACCAGAGACCAAAGAACGGGAAGACATTGCTTTTTAATCATAAAATTGTTGAAGTGCGTCTTCCACCCTTCATCAAGGCACTAATGGGAGCTAAGGAATGAAAGTACTATTACGGCAAAGCCCATCCAGAGCAAGGACACAGCCAGATCAGATCACAGCAGACTCGTACCCATCACAGGCACCATCATCCAAACATTCTGCAACTGCAGAATATTCAAGTGCTACATTTATAGAAGGGAATTGATATTTTTGTTGCCAGAGATGCACTTATTGTCTTAAAAAAAGGGAAAAAAAGCAGGGACTGGGAGCTTGACCATGACATGTCCTCAGCTGGTGCCTGGCATGGTGGAAAAGTACAGTACCCCAGGACAGCTCTCTGTGCTAACCCTGTATCAACAGCACACACAGGGAAATACGTGGGTGACAGCAACCTCCTGCACCCAAACCTGGCCATAAAAGAGACACCCTAAACTTTATGTAACTGCAAATAACCCGTCCACCAAGGACAGGGTCTGTTTTTCTCAACAGCTTCTTCTGCAAGGCCACCGCTGCCACAACAAGGGAAGGAAGGCAGAAAAAGGTCAACAGGAAGCTGTTTGCATGGGGAGAATGAGGGGGCCTGACCCACCACAGCAGCAAGAGAAGCAAAGGGAGGAAGAGTGGGAGCTTTGGAAGTTCCACAGGCTGGCAGGGAGAAAGCCAAGGTCCTGGTTCCACTTCCTTAGGGAAAGCAGGCACTGGCGATTTATGGACAGCCGACTTTCAGAGCTAGGGGAATGGCAGTTCCCTCTAATAATAGCAGCCTTTTGGGGTATTCATCAAGTCTGAGAATGAAGCCCGAATAAATGGTTTGCTGTCCTTGGGAGCAGGATTTAATACACTTGACCACACAAGTAGCTATGGTAGAGCCAGAAATAGTGCCCTGAACTCCTCACCTAAAACTCCAGGCTGCTGCCACATGCCTGTGCACTCTCATTGCACAGTAATGCACTAAATAACCCTAAGCTCCTAACAACTGTATATATTTATATGTACTCACAAGAGAGAGAAAGCCTTGTATCTTACATGTCTTCTTACATATACAGATTTTTGACTCTACTTCTGATATGGAATACACTTGACTGCAGTAAGTGTTGAGAACCACTGCTTCCCATTACAGTCTGTGGACCTCTGCCTGCTCAGCACAAATGAAAGCAGGGCTGCAAGAGTTTACGAACCAGAAGATCACTTACTTTATCTTGCCCTAGCTTTTCTTTCTGCTAAAGGATGGCTTTCATCCAACAGGCTAAACAGCTCAACAAAACAGCGAGCCATTTGCTCCCAGACACACAGTGCTCCACAACTCTTGCACACATAGCTCACAAAGCCCAAGAAATTCATCTTGCATCCTTCGCCATATCCCAGCTATTCTGCAGAGTTGTTCTGGCTGTTTACTCTTCTTACTTCCCTCACCTTCACATACACACACATAGAGCAGTGCTGTTGCCGTTTTCAGAAACCCTCTGGCCACCTCTGTTGCTGTGGGAAGGTTTCCTTCAACTGGGACTCGTTGCAGGTCTCCAAGGAGGGGAGTGCTGGTGTAGCAGGGATCTCCTCGGCTTGCTGTGAGGGCTTTGCTAATCAGGTTCTCTCCGCTGCCTTACATCATAATGGTGTATATATCAGGCCTGTGTGGTAGCTTGCATACAAACAGGCACTTCAATTGCATATTGTTTATCTTCTCTGTTCTCAGCCAGCCTTTGCAACTACAGTCATTTAGTGGCACTGTCTTTGCTTTCACCTACAGCCACAAACTTTGAGAGCATAATGAACTCTGCTGTTAAGAAGAAATATTCAAGGGATGTTGATGGCTATCCTGCATCACATACAAGTCGCCACATGAGATTTCACCCTGGGTTCCCTCGCCTTTCTTGTTCACATGCTTGCTGAAAGTGGCAGGCTTTCTCATTCTTTGGCAAAACAAAGCATAAATAAGTAAATGGAAAATTTTTTCAAAGTATTTGGCACTTTTCCTAAAAATTACAGCAAAAGAGACAGCAGGGATAAACCATAATCCAGCTCACTGCAAAAGCATGAACTTGAAGTTAAATCCTTTCCCTCCAGTTAATACAAGTTCCTTCCACTTTTTCCCAGTCCAGCACAACACCTTGTGGGAAGAAAGAGACAGGCAGCCACAAAAGCTTCTACCTATAAACACAAAGCTAAGGGCACATGTTCACCAGACCACACAGCAATTTTTTTTCTTTTTTTTTTTTTTTTACCCTTTTTCTGTTTTCCCCTTTCTTTCAGAGCACCAACCAGCTGATCCTGAATCACACTTTATCCTGAGTGGCGAAACTGAATACAATTATTGTTAATGTCTCCTAAGTGCTAATTAAACTGCAATTCTGTTAAACAGCATTTTGGCAAGTTTTCAGTACCAAAATATTTCCTTCACCCACAAATTAATGCAGTTACAAACCAGAAGTTGGAAGATCCACCTAAGAAAACTATTCCTAGTATTTCATCCTCTGTCATGGAAATCTGTTTCCCTCAAAAGTGGGATCTGGGGGGAAAAATAAAACCCTCTTGTCTTGCTGAGAGACTTGATCCCCTGGTGGGGTATAAAATAAAGCACTGGTCATCTTTTCCTTAAGCAAGCTAGAGTGCAGTTCACTCTCCAGAACAAAATTCCTTCTGTACAGCACACCAGGGAGCAAGCAGCAGGACCGTGCCCCTCTGTTTCCTCCACTGTCTGCTGTCCTAGGTCGTTGCTTATTTTATCTGTGGCCTCGGAAAACCAGGCTGGCCACTGTCACCAAGGGTTTGTGGTCTCCAGCTAGAGGTTAGCCTTTACTGGCAGCAGCCATGCACCATCAGTTCCTCCCTGCTGCCCCCGGAGATGCAGAAAAAGCAAGCCTGATCCCTCCAGCCCTCCTGTGCCTCTTCCCCAGTCTGTCTTCTCTTGCCAGCAGCACACAAAGCTCTGGCCCAGCTTCAAGACACTCATCCTTGAGGAGGCAAAATTCAAATCTGCCACCCCCAAGGAGCCTTCAGGTGGCTCTGTGGGTGGACGCAGCAAAGGACATTTGCGGCTAATGCGGACACAATGTGTTCCCTAACCAAACTCCTCTGATAACGGGTGGCAGGTGGTGCATTAGCTCTCCCAGGGTCTGCTTCAGAGTCCCTATCCAGAACACAATACAATGCAATATTCAAAGCCTGGATAATGTGTCTGTCTGTACCCCAGAAGGCAGAGAAATTAAGAAATTTCTACTACCCTCTGGAGAATGAAACTGAGCTCTAACTACTGCAGCACAATGACAGGCAGCTATGGCACAACCTTCTGCATATTGTCTTGTCCATGGTCAGTGACACTGTCTATTTTAATAAGGAACTTCTCCTAGGCAGTGGATTAATGACATTGCTAATTGGCAGCTAAAGACAAATACAAAATGACCCAGCTACTCACAAGTTTTGAGCCTGGGAATCTTATTCTTACAGATCTCAAGACTCAGATGTGGAATGTTTCTATACGATTAAAAACACTCAGTAATGGTGAGTGGAACATAGTTAATTTTAATATCAGGAATGACAAATC